GGACGCCATCGAGCAGCCCTCGGCAGGGCCATTGAGCCTCGGCCCGGGCCGGATCACTCGCGTTGGCGCCGCTGGCGCCGGCGCCACACTGCTGCTCCCCGCTCGCGGAGGGGTGGGGGGCGGCGGGGGCGGAGGTATGGACGGGGACGGCCCGCGGGGCGCGGGCAGCCTTGGTGGCGGTGCGCGGCGGCGGTTGGCGCTCGGCGGACACGCGGTGTGGCGTCGCATCTCATCTCACGAACTGCCGAAAGGGGAGGTCAGGATGGGGGTGCGACAGGGAAGGGGTGCTTCACTACAAAATATCGGTGAACACCCTTAAAAAATATTAGAAAACTTAAGAAAAAATACAGGAAAATCAAAAGGGAGGAAGACGTAGAACAAATTAACAATTTTGTGGTGGGGCATGAACCTGCTCCATAACTTAGATTGTAGCCCTTATTTTGATCGGATCATTTTAAAAAATAAAATGCATCCGTCATATGCCGGTACGAAATAACGAAGTTCGGCCAAAGCAAGAAGGTCTCCTAGTGCCCTGTAGGTAGGCAACATCTTGTCTGTAGTGCTTGCGAGTGCTGCGGGATGGCCTACCCCGAGTCTCGCAGGCGCCAAGCTGTCGCACATTTTTGCCGAATGATCGAATCTGAGAAACGGATGTACATTGCAGACGATCAAAAGGTGTATTGGAAAAGAACGACTACAAAAACAGAAACAGCGGAGGAAGCTTCAAATTTATATAGTGAAGGAATCGCTCGAGGTGCGGGGCGGCCGTGGGTGTGCGGGCGACTGTTTCATCAGCCGGCGGCAGCAGAGGTGAAGTGCGCACTTTGTGGCGGAGGGATGCGGCGCGTACACGACGGCGCTTGGTGATATGTACTTTGACGTACCGTTTCGCTTCCCGTGAACCGAAACGTGACCTTTCTCTCGCTCCGAGAAGCGCCCCGCAGCTACCGCCGCGAGCTCACGTGAGGCGAGGAGCCGGCCGCACGAGGCCCTCGCGCGCGCCCCGTGTAGGCGGGATGGGATGCGGCGGCACGCGGCCGCGGCGGGGGCGGAGGCAGCGGAGGGGCGGAGCTGAGCCTCCCCGACGGCGACCGAGACCGAGGGAGGCATGAGAGGCGAGGCAAAGCCAGGCAAAGCGAAGCAAAGCGAAGCGCCAAGGCAAAGAAAAATAGAGAGCGCGCGCCGCTTCCGGGGGCGGCCGGGCCGAGAGCGGCGGGCGGGTTTGTCCCAGTTTCCCCGGCCGCTCCGTCGGCGCCGTCGCCGCCCCTTGCGAGATTGCGCAAAGGCCGCATCACATCACATAGAGCGGCGTTTGCGGCGGGACAGGGGGTGGCGGCGGCCGGGTCAGCGTGTCGCCCGTTATGAGGGTGGACCGTGGGTAGGAATTTCAATTTGCCGGAAAAATGTTTTGGGAACCTTTTTCAAGAATTTTTGTTTAATGTCTCAATTATTTCCCCAGAACTTTTATTTTTTTCAATTTTTCCTGGAAATGCTCCAATTTTTTCCGATTTTTTTCTAGAAACGTTTTTAATTGTTTCGAAAAATTTTCGGACTTTAAAACCCCGTGCACGTGGACCGGGCCGCCGGCGGGCTGAGCTCGCGGGTCGGGCTAGCGAATGAATGGGCGGCGGTGGTGGTGGCCGCGCCGTGAGACCGGTCCGGTCCGGCCCGCACGCGCCGCCAGGGCGACCTACGGCCGTGACGGTGGCGGGCACACACCACACACACCACCCGCGCGGGGACAGTCGTCGGGCCGTAAGTGAGGACAGTGCAGTCCAGCCGCCGCCGTCAAACGGCTCCACAGGTGGGTGAAATGAAGCGGTGCGCGATGCTGCTCAACGGACCAGAGCCGAATGCGCGGCCTGCTGTTTGATTTTTCATGGGGCGGAACGGGGGGGTTGGTTTCCACGGCCGGCTGGACAGAGTAGGGCCCCGCCGCGTGCGGCGTTTGTGTTGTGGGTGGAGGTATAAAAGATGTACATGTACAGTAGGCAAGCCAAGTTTATTCAGGTCGGAGACGACGAGTGGCCAGGTGTATACCGTTGGAGCCAACAAGTTACCATTCAAAACGCTCTCGCGTCGTATGACCCGGCCATGTGGGAGGCGAGCCGTTCACCGACCGACGACGACCGGGCGGCCCACTCAATTTGGGAGCACACCGGGCTGCTCTTTTCGTCGAGCCATTACTGGCCGGCCGGCCGGACGGGCGACAGCAGCGCTGGCCGACACGACCCCCGGCCCCGGGCTGGAATCTTGCCATTCTACTTGTTGGGGCGGGAGAGAGAGATCGCTCACCCCCCGCGGCCGGCGCCCCGGCCCCGCCTGCTGCTGGCGCTGGCACCGGCCCGGACTGCACTGGTTGTATCTCGCAACGGTCGGGGCCGCATTCGATCCGGTTCAATTCGCAGAAGATGGGTTGGGGCGGGGGGCGGGGCCCAACTGACTACGATGTAGTCACCGGGCCGCATAAGCGCGGCCGACTTTATCATCCGTGCGATCTTGACACTGAACCAGCGCTCGGCGCCGCGGGGAGCCGTGGAGGGCGGCGGGGGTGGGCGGGGGCGTGACCGCGACGCTCACGTGCCGACAGTGGCATGGCACTGGGGTCATTACTTTTCGTTCACCGGAAAAAAAAATTGTACTCGGTGAGGATGCATTTCTGGTAGAGCAGTGCCGGGTGATTCAAAGAAGACGCATGTGCGAGCGGGTTTGCCTATCCGCTCTTCCCGTAAGGAGCCATAGCCCTTTAGGTAGGCAGACCCGCTCGCACCTGCGTCTTCTCTGAATCACCCGGCAGGTGAAATAACCTGCAGGTGGATTTCATACTTTATTTTCGATGTACGGTGGTCTCGGGAACGTTGACGTAAAGCACAGTCACCTACGCACTTGTTAAGTCTTACTGACGTTTGAACTGAGCGCTTCTACTGCCCCATGCTATGTTCTATATACAACTTTCGTTAGACAATCAGCTTAAAAAGTTTTTTTATTTTATTTTTTCTGTTTGAGCCTGGGTATTAACGCAACGTGTAACATATGTTGACAGGTGGAACGGGCCGGCTGGCCCCTGCTAGCTGATTACCAGCACAAACACACCCTAACTACTCTCCCCCTCTCGCTCCCCTCCCCGCCCCTGACTGCCCTGCTTGCTCTGCCCGCTCCTAGAGCAGCGGCGGCGGCGGGCCGGGTCGGACCTGCCCTAACCTCACTTCATACCTTCAAGAGTACCTCGCGTGGCGTGGCGTGGCGTGGTGTGGCGTGGTGAGGCGTGGCGTGGCGTGGCGAGGCGTGGCGAGGCGTGGCGTGGCGTGGCGGGCGCGGGGATAGTGAGTAGGTGAGGCAGAGCGCTGCGCCGGGTCGCGGTGATACGCTGTGGCCGACGCGACGCGACGCCGGGAGGACCGACCAGGAACACCCACCAGGACGACGACGGACGACTCGCTTGGGTCCGACACCCGCCACGATTAAGGACATGGTCGCCAACGGCACGCCGAACGGCAGCGCGGACCCGACCGCGCCTGTGGCCATGCGCATCATCAGGCAGAACGCCGAGGACGGCGACGTGAAGGAGAAGGAGGACTACGAGAGCGACGTGGACGACGAGGTCGAGGACGTCGACGACGAGGAGGAGGAGAAGAGGGACGGCCTGGGGATCCTCCTCGAGGGCAAGAAGCAGATCCAGCTCCAGAGCGGGGAGGTGCTGGAGGTGGGGCGGGACCCCCTTCCGCCGGACGGTGAGTGCAGTGCGTGGGATCCAACGGGATTGTGTGACAAGTTCGCCCAGGAGTTTTGATACTCTATAAGTCCAACTTTGATTTCAGTTGGAATAGATTAAGCCTTGAGCTTAAGCCGTCGATAAGATCTTTTCGTTTTGGTAAGTGGGTTTGGGGTAGTATAGGGGCGCTAAACGTGATGTTAAATTTAAGCTGCGATTAAACGCAAAATGCAGAAGGTATACTGAAGAGAAAAGTCTGCAGTGGAAATCATTATAGTATCCGCGTTCACCTTCCGTACCGCAATTTTTGAAACAGATAAATGTATCGATATAACTGTAGGTTGTCCGCTATGTTCTTGCCTCCGCCCCCCGGCGGCTCCACGCGTGTCATTCCGCCCCCGGCCCCCACC